TGCCATCCTTTATTATGCACTTTACGAATCACGTACCAGAAAGACTCGATCCTTCAGCACCTCAGAATTCTGTGGTAATAATCCTCTGCTTTTTCATTCCTCCTGCCAAAGTGATAAACTTCACATTTCCTCACATTACGCTCACTCAACCTATCTACATCTGTCGACAGTTTCCTGGTCTGCTTCACAACATACTTTCTGGTCCCTCTTAGTATCAACAGCAAATTTAGAGACCATTTGCCTCAGCTAAATCATTGATGTCAAATTCTGAGGTGCCAGCACAGATCCTTGTGGAACCCCACTTGTCACATCCTACCAATTTGAAGATGACCCATTTATGCATATTTGGATTTCTGTTAGCCAGGCCATCTTCAAACCTTGCTAATATATGTTACCTTTGATCCATCCAGCTCCTGCCTTGTGGTGTGGGACTCTGTCAAGTTCATTCTGGATATCCAAGTACAGTATGTCTAAGGACTCTCCTTTATTCATAACACAAGTTACTTCTTCAAAGACCTCCATTAAATTGGTTAAACATGATTTCTCTTTAACAAAGAGACAGCTGGAATCCTGTCCCCAAAAACCTGGCGATGCTGGAGTTGAACTGTAGCTTTTGGACAGAGATGGATAGATCATTGGTAGGTTAAAGGTCATTAGATAAAGCTATAGAGGGACACGAGCAAGACGGCAAAAGAAATGCGGTAGAAACCAACCACAAAATAGCAGCAGGCTGAGACAGTGTTCCTAATGTCTCCCAACACAAAACAGATTGATTTAACACTTCTGAGTGTTGTTACTGTGTGAAAATTAGCTTTCACTTCTCCGTATATTACCAAAATGGTGACAATTCACAAAAACATTACAGAAATGAAAATTTCTTAGATTTAACTTAAGGACCAATTTTCATTCAAAGATTACAATATACAGCAATGTGTGTATTCGAAAGTCTCTACAAAGAACACCCTAGTGACACAGGTAAGCACATCGAATGGAAGACAGCTTTTGTTCAGTTAGCAGCACTCCACCCCCAGGGTCACAAAGGCCATGGGTTTATGGCCCATTCTGAAGCACCAGCATAATCCAGTCTGACACTTCGTCATAACACAGAGGGAGTACAGTGACATGTAGGTCCTCAAGCTGAAAAGGTTAAACTGCAAATTCCTCTTCCCACAGATACTGATCAACCTCTGATTAATTCTAACACTTTTTGTTATTACTGAGGGGACACTAGTGTGGGACGTGTAATCTCTTGTTCCTGAGCAACCATTTTGTTGTCTTTCATGTATAATGAAGATTCTTTGCCATCACTGGAAAAGCTGAAGAGAATCCTATGCAAAGAACATTGTTAAAAAAAACCACATAACAGCTTGTGGTTCTTCTAATTGCGGTTTATGGCATTTTGCCGAGCACAGAAATATACTTCATGGCCTACACTCCCATTAAATGTCAAAGTCACTTAATATCTACAGAGCAGACACGGGAGGATATTTCCCATTGTGGCACAGGAATTCTAGAACCAGGGAATATAGTTTGAAAATAAGACATTCAAGATTTAATGAGGAGAAATTTCTTCCCTCAGAGAATGGTTAGTCTTAGAAATTCTCTTCTCCAGAGAACAGTGGAGGCTAGATCATAGAATATATTCAAGCTCGAGTCAGACAGAATTTGATTGACAAAGAAATTAAAGTTTGTGTGGGGAACTGCACTGGAGTTAAGGCTACCGCTTGACCACACAGACCGGCAGAGCAGTTACACTGGGCTAAATGGACTCCTCCTATTTCTAATGTAGTGTGGTAGGATTTGAGAGATTTGATCAGATTTATGTAAATGGAAAAAAAAAAAGAGAAAATGTTGGAAATGTTCGCCCAATCAGGCAGCATCTATCAAAAGAGCAATTTCAGGTCTATATTCTTTTCAGTTTCTGCAATATTCGGCTTTAACATAAATGGAAAGTTCTTTGTAGCTCGGTGACACACTGGAGTTGGATGACTGGGGGTTTGACAGACTTTAACAGACTCTGGTGCTGTACCCAGGGAGCACTGTACAATCAGATAGACACTGGGATGATGTTAAATCAATGCTCTCTTCTTATCTGATGTAAAGACAGCCCACACCATTATTTTGAAGTTGACCAGAGACACTTTTCATGCTGTCCTGTTCAGCATTTACTCCACAAACCAATAACTGATTATCAGGTCATTATCGAACACCTTGTTTGAACGAGTTTGCTATGAGGAAATTGAAGGGAACTTCATCAGATGAAAAGAACCTCGAGATTGTGTTAAATTCACGTTCACACTGTGTAACCGCTACCGTATGTTTAAAAACCTTATACAGACTTTTGCAAAGTAGGTGCGGGTTTATACAAATGGAAGATGATTTCTTCAAGAGACCAAACTAGCTTCCCGTTTTTAATTTTCAAATTCACACGGCAATGGAGATTGGTTAAAATCTAGACACAGGCTCTTCTCAGTGACAACTTGTGAATCCACCTTCATGATGGATGTTAACTAGTGGTTCAGTTACTTAGTGCATTGGGTTCAACACTTTTGTCAAAAGAAACAAAACGTACTATTAAGAGAAATATAAACAGACGACAGAGGAATCAGACAGCAAGAGAGAGTCCCAGTTTTATTTTCACACAAGGAAGTTGATCTAGAGTAACATGGAAGGAGGACAGGTGCAATTAGCCAATTAATTACAATCTTTTAGGCACTCGCCAAAGAGAGTAAAGATGTAAAATGAGCACCGAGGCAACATTGACAGCAGGAGGGTGGAGCAGAAGATCAAAGGTCATTTATAAAGAAGTCATATCATTGAGGGCGTGGTCTAACTCCTCGCTGATGGCTTTGTACTTCAGCTTCTGGGCATAGAGTTCATCTGGAGATTGAGGGGCAGAGGGCAGAGGGCAACCAGGTTTCAAAAGGAGCGACCGAGTGATAATGATGGAAAGAAATCATGTGATGATGGAATGAACATGAGGTTCCGTGAAAAAAAAATCAATGATAAAGGTGAGGTGAAAAGAAATGATGGAAACAACAACAAAAAAAGGAGAGAGAGAAATTATTGGAATAAAATCAAAGCAAAAAAAACAAGACAAGACATCTCAAGACGACATCAGAATAGTTTTTGACATTGGTTAAAAAAGTTGGGGAATTAAATTCAAATGTGATGGTGTGGTAACCCCACAGATTTGTTGCTTAGACAATGTCTTAAGTTGAAGACAGGTCTATGCAAAGTCTAGTGGCAAAGATACACACTGCTTCTACAAATGTCTTGTTATACCAAATGCCTTAATACAGGATGTCCCAAGTGGGGAAGGGGGAGCAAGGCCACAAGAGGGTCCTCAAGCTGAAATTTGGGGATGCAAGGAAGCAACGGTTACCACAGAAGTCCTCTCCCACTCCCAACAGATTCTTCTCTCCCATTCCCTGCTTTCATGGACCTCCTCCCCTCTCCCTCTGCCTGAGGATTCTCACTCAGGGGTGGCAACAACTGGACAAGGCTGAAATGGGGACACAGAACCATTTGGGAAGGACCTGCTCTAGGGTCTGGACCCTCAGCCTATCAGAGTGACTAGGTCTGCACATAGCCCTCACAGCAGGGCACACTGCAGCTTCAGTGCGTCTGTGGGATTTGGATCCCAACATCCGATTGGTTTGGTTCTTTACCATATCACACCATACAAATCATGAGTCTGTTGGTCTCTTTGATAGCATCATCACTGCACAGGAGGAGGCCATTCAGCCCTTTGAGTCCATGGTGGGGGGCTGCACAGCAACCCAATCGATCCCATTTCGTTGCTTCCAACCTTCTCCCATGCCCTAATTTCCCCTCACACTTATTCATTTGGGGCTCCACGATGGGAGAGTCACTCAGGTGCCTCCTGGTCTCATTCTTGTTAAGCTGCCACTTCACTGAGCCAGCTCACAGCTGTCCCCTCAACCCTCCTCCAGACTTCTTCATATTCACCTTTCCCCATGCGGGTGCTCATTAAATGCACTGTTTGAAAAGTGCAATCTAATTCAAATGGTAATTTAAAACAATTTTAAGAAGAAAGGTGCGCAGGACCAGAGGGAATCAGTGATGGAGAGCAGCTAACTGGTCAGCTCTTTCAAACAGGCAGCATCAGGGGGGTGGGCACACGAGTAAAGAGATAGATTTTTTTGCCCCACTCACCATTACTTTAACAAAGAAGATAAATACCATAGATTAGAACGTGTGAAATACAAAAAAAAGTGTTCAACCTCCCCCACAGCCAACTCAGTTAATGACCAGACCTGTAAGGAGTCTGGACTCATTTCAGAGAGAACTACAACACTTACAATATGGGAAGAAACAACTTGACAATAAACCCTGGAGAAAAGCAAACATTTTTCTTGTAATCTTTTGCGATAGTTGAACATTCTTCTGTAAGCTGGAGGGAATTAGTTTCCAGGTTTCCTTGTAACATGTAGTGGGAGAGTCACCCGCGACAAACGTTTCCAGGAGTTAGTGTGGGAAAACCGAGGGGAGGGTAATTTGAGTTAAGCGACTGGCTGAACCTTCCATCAGGTTTGGTAACTCACAGCCAATTCCATCAGCTCCCTGGGTATGATGGTTCAAATAAGGATGAAAATAAAACAAACAAACACAGTTGTAGGGTTTTAAGTGATTGAATACAGAGAACATCAAGTACAGAACTGCTTCCAGCACCTCTCAAATGGAGAGGGCATCAGGGAATCCATCTCTTTTTACAGCTCCTGCTTTCTACCTGGCTTTCCACACTTATTGGTTTAATGGCTGCACATAAGCAGCAGTAATTCCTCTGGCTTCCTGCTCAGCTGAGGCACTTCACCCCCTCTTCCAGGTTCATATAAAACAGGGTCCACGTGGAAGGAAGGAAGGAAGGAAACCGACGGAAAAAGAGAGAGTAAGCGGGGAAATAGAAAGCCAGTAGAAATCGAGAGACACAGACAAACAAAACAACTGCCTTGTGGAATCAACACAAGATTTCATACCTTCCAGGTCATCGATGGTCTTTTCCAGTTTGGCCACAGTCCTTTCAGCAAACTCCGCACGAGTTTCTGCCTGAGAATCAGAACCCAGATCAACAGGATCATTAAAAAAAAATCAAGAGACAAGGCGGGAAAATAATCAGCAATAAGCAACTGTGACTAATCGATACAATCTACTTTGGAGATGAGCCAGAAAGAGAAAATATGTTTAATTGAAGCCAGGTCAGATTCAAAAACAGATGCTAGATAGCCTACCGTGTGCCCAGGAAGTTGGGTCAATTAGTTTGGGACTTTCAGGGTTAATCTGTCAATTCACAGGCTGACGTCTTTGTGGGCTTGTAGTATGCCGCGGATTCTTAACTTCACAGCTGCTGGTTATTCTTTGAAACATGTCCCACATCTGGGCTCAAGTAATGACTTCATCACACAGAGACGCTAACTCTAACAGCCCAGCAAGAAAGGCATTCTATCAGTTTGGAAAATACTTAAAAACAAAATTGAAAACTCTTGCCCCACATTCCTTTCACTTACAGGCTAATTGTACGCTCTGAAAGCTGGGTGGGGGGCTTGGGGAGGGAAAGAAATAGAATAAACATTGTGCAGACAGGAACTGTAAACATTTGGAAACGTTTGTGACTCTGACAGATAACAGCATCACCCGAGGCTTTACTAATTAACCAGGATTGGCTGAAAGGAATGAAAAATTGAGACAGTGTTCCTGTGGGGAGAATTCACTCACTCGCTTACCCAAGGCTGCATTGTTTTATGAACACAAAACAGGTGTTGTATTAAATTCAAGCAGCACATTGTGAGCAGTTCAGCACCTACCTCCTTCAGCTTGTCAGTCAGAATCTTGATCTCATCTTCATACTTGTCCTCCTTCTCAGAGTACTGTCAATGGAAAGTGCAGTTAGTTACACAGTCTGGGTGTAGCCAGTTCCAATCATTATCCTTCACCCCAATTCCCAGCATCATTTTGTTTCCATTCCTAACAGGAATTAAGGAACAGGTGGTGATCAGTCAGTCTCTTGAGCTTGTTCTATCATTCAACAAAGTCGTGACTAATCTGTCCCTCAAATCCTTTGACCCACTTCAATCCACATTCATAGCAGACAACAACCACAACATACATCCAACATCTCCAGCATTCTTATGGCAGCTAGAGGCTGGGAGGCGATGGGAGTGGGGGAGGGAAGGGAAGCAGCGATGCACAGAGTCAGACAACAATGGAGATATATGGGAGACAGAGAGATAGTGGAGCGTATTCTAGATTCCCACTTGCTTTGAGTAGAAAGTGCTCGATTTCACTCCAACCTTGTTTGGCTGCTCAGGGATAGACCAATTCACCAAGATATCTATTTACTGGGGACGAACACTAGCCCGTTCATCACTCAGCATAGGTAATGAAGTGATAGGGTGTAATAGAGCTTTGGGCTAGCAGGTACAAAATCTCAGAACCTGGTGCTGATGGACACTTTGTGAATGGATGGGTAATGGGTTGGTGAGTAACAGCATGGCTGACTCCTCACTCTGGCTCTCTCGCAGGCTGTTACAGATCTCAGCACCTCCCGATTGTTCAAAGACATTTGTAAAATTCCCACCTTGCAGCAGACAATCTGGTATGCGAGAAATAGTTTCAAACGAGATCACATAAGATTAGACTGGTCACACAGACACAACAAACTTCCCTCAGAAGAGAAAAAAGTAAACAGCAGAAAATCACAAATTAAGAACTTTCCTGAGCAGAATTTTACCAAAGCCAACCAATTAAACCTTTCTGTGAAGCAGCCAATTCCCTGATGAGTATCAACTTTATCTATTCACACTACTACGAATGCTGAGCTCTGGAGGAGACGGTGAGGAGTGGCCTACCTGAACTGCTGCAGTGGTTTGGTGAAGGAACACCTACAAGTACGATGTCAGGATGGTGAGTGGCTCGGAGGGAAACTTGCAGGGATGGTGTTCTCATGTATCTGCTGCCCTTGACCTTCTTGATGGAAGTGATCATGGGCTTGGAAGGTGCTGTCTGAGGATCTTTGGTGAATTTCTGCAGTGCATCTTGAAGATAGTATATACTGCTGCTACTGAGCGTTGGTGATGGTGAGAGTGGATGTTTAAGTTGTGGATGGGGTGTCACTCCATCTGCAATGAATCCAGTTTTGTTTTCCATCAGCAGTGAAATCCAGGCTGATGTCACAGTGCAGTACTGGGGAAGACTTTCTTCATTCAATTCACAGGATGAGGGCATCACTGTCCAGGCCAGCATTTACTGCTCATCCCTAATTGCTCAGAGGGCAGTTAAAGAGTCAACCACATTGCTGTGGGTCTGTACTGCATTATTTTTCATTTGAGATTAAACCCAGGCCCCATCTGTACTCAGGTGTTTATTGCTCAAACAACAGATTATCTGATCACTTTGCTGTTTATGGGACTGTACTGTGTGCAACGTGGCTATATTTTTTGCTACATTACATTTCAAAACTGGCTGCTGTGCATTTTGGAACATTCAGTGACAGCAAAAAGAACCAGAGAATTGTAAATCTTTATTGAGTTCTCTGCTCCAAACTGTCGCAGAGGTAATTCCTAACGTGGCAAAGTGCTGGGAGAGGGAGTGGGAGCTTTTCCAGAGTCAGTGAAAGGTAGGGAAGTATGCTTCACCTTATCCGATTGAGCCTCCAGTGACTTGAGATTATTGGTGACATTTTTCAGTTCTTCCTCCAGGTCACAACACTTCCTGCATGAACAAGACGCAGTGGGTAGTGAGAATTAATTGCTATTGGGCACAATAAAAGGCAACCTAAAATCTCAGTGAACTAAACACAAGAGAAATACAGATGAATAGGAAAACTGAACTGTTTAAGAATGAGCTGGGGACTGACCAAGTTAAAGGAAGAGGTGGCGATATTTATTAGATATATTAAAACAACTCCCAAACTGAAATCACCCTACTATGATAGAGGTTGGTCATTTCAGTGACCTGACCAATAATCCTGTGGTACTCAAAGGCTCCTGGACAGGTGTAGTCTCATTAATATAAAGTCCTCTTCTAGCATTTCATGTTTCAATAAAAATCAATTAGTACCAAAACCAAAACATCCACAAATGGCTTCAGAGCAGGGATTGAGCTTAAACTGTATAAAACCAGCTGTGAATCTAAAGTCAGAATAGTAACAGATTTACTGAGTGGTCTTTAGCCTTACAGAAGGTTTTAACCCATTCACCAAGGGACTTACATCTCTGCGACTTCAGCTCGTTCCTCAGCTCGCTCCAGCTCTCCTTCAAGGATGACAAGTTTACGGGCGACCTATACAGAGTGAATAAGTTTAGCCAAGGAGGTATCTGCAGGCAACACACATTTGAAAACGCACAGTTCCTGAATAGGCTTTCTTACTAGCAGTGGAGGACAGCTTCTATTTTAAACCAACACCAAAACTACACTGCAATACAACACATTCCTATCCATCATCAGCCACATTAACTCAGATCTAACACAGGGTAGAATAAGGCTCCCTCCCCATAAACAATAGTGGACAATCCCAACTGCCCCACTGTCCCTGGCTTTAGATGGAAAATGGGTGTCCAACAACGACAGAGAAAACAACTGGAAGTGTTTGGAATTAGGGAAATGGGGCATGGCCTGGTTTTGTTCTTACCTATCCAGTCACAGCCAGGGTGTTTACTCCAATGGCTTCTCTTCACTTTCATGAACCGTTCCCTCTCATTCCCAAAAGAACTACTCCCAGCCCATTCTATTCCTCATCTCCCTCAGAGACATCACCCGAAAGCACAGCGTTGGTTTTCACACGTACCCAGACAGCAATGATCTCGACTTGGCCACCTCCACTCATTCCAGTTTGCCGAATTATCATTCTGCTTATCCAACTCCCAGTATGCAATGAATGGCAATTTCCTCCAATTAAAAATATTGGGAAGACTGAAGTCATTGTACACTGTCCCTGCTACAAATGATGTCCCCTAGCAACCATCAAGGGGTCAACCTTCTGTTTATTAAACCATGGCTGTAATCATTGGCAACGAGATAAGTTTCTAACCACACATCCATGGAATTGCTCTATGTCAAGGTCAATGGCATTATCAGACTGTCCATACATCACTTCATCTGCTGCTGAAATCTTCACCCATTCCTTTGTTGCCTCTGGAAGTGACAATACAACAGAATCCAGCCAGTGTCCCAGATCCTGCCTTCTGTAAACTTAAGGTCATCCCCAAAATCTCCTGCACATGCCCCCTTCACCATCCCTCCTGTTGCTCATTGCTCAATGTTAAGCAGGGCCATGGCAGAACTTGAACCTGGCTCCTCACAACCGTATGAGTTTCTGTCTATTGATGGTACCACTAGGCCACTGCTTCCCCATATCGAGGGCAGGGATCCAAGTGCTTCCTGAAGTGCTGTGCTTTTGGTGCTCACCTCTTCATATTTGCGATCAGCCTCTTCTGCAATGTGTTTCGCCTCCTTCAGCTGCAGCTCCTGAAGCTCCATCCTCTCCTCATCCTTCATCGCACGGTTCTCAATTACTTTCATACCTCTGAATAAACATAGCCAGGGTTACACGGGCTAAACCAATAACCAGAGCACCTCCAACATACTTTAAAACACAGAGTATCTAGCCTGTCACATGGTACTAAACACAACACCTTCTGAGGGCCTGACTAACCAGTTATTACCCTATCACAATCATGCTGAAAACCAATTCCCAATCTAATTCAACTCCATCCCAACCAATATCAAAAGGGAAGAATGAGATACAGGTGCACTCCTCTTGAAGTGTACAATAAATGACAACTGACCAAAATTAAAATTAACTTCAACTGCACATCTTCCAGAGAAATTCTCACAGAATGATATCAGACATAATGCCACTAGACCATTCAGCCCAGCTAGTCTCTTGCTGTTCTTCTCAACTTGCCTGCAGCATTTGACACAGTTCTTTGACACATTCCTCTTTCTAACGCTAACTATTTCTACTTCTTTCTTCCTCATGTCTTTTTCCAGCTTCCCTTTAAATGCATCACTGAATACGTTCCAAACCAGGATCAAGTCCACAGTGACAGAAAGAAAATGGCCGAAGTCACTTTGCCCACAGCCTGACTTTGGTATTGCACTGACTGCCCTATTCAGTATACCACATGGACAAAACAATGTCACTGACTGGCAGATTTCCCAAAAATCATAGGTCCCCTTCTTCCTGGCCAGGACTGAATAGTTTGGGTTGTAACAACAAACTGATATCTTCATTGGGAGGCCTTACCCTATCACTGTGGGGCATTTCACAGAACTTGCTCTCTTTAGGAAAAAAGACTAACCTAGTTCCCTTATAATAGCCGTTCAAAATTCTCACTGTGGAGCCTATGGTCCTCCAACTATCATGACAAGAACTCTTAGCTTTCTCTAATCTCTCTCATCTGTGCTCAAGCTCTTTCTGAGCTCAACTTCTTACGAGCTCACTCAACTCACCCAAATCCTCCTAGCCTTTACATTAAGCCAATAATGTTAATTGCTCCCTCTCTCTTCAGATGTTTCCGCTCTCCTTTAAATTTTCCATTGGCACCTCTCTAATCAAAACAGCAATCCTTTACTTCCCGGTCCTTGCGAACTATATACCTCAGCTTCCAAACTCCCACTCCTTTCCAACATCCTAGAGCTCATTGTTGTCTCCCTTGCTTTCCAGGAACTTCCAAGTTTGACTCCCACTAATCAAGTCTGTCTTGTTGCAGTTTCAAAACTGCTCCTACTAAAGTCATCAATGACGTCCTGTGTCCTGTGTGACTGTAAACTTTCCCTTGCTGTTCTTCTCAACCTGCCTGCAGCCTTTGACACGGTGACCACACCATCCTCCTCCAAACCCCTCTCCAATCTCCCCCAGTTGGGTGGGACTGCTCTCGCCTGGTCCCATTCACCTCTGATCGAAGCAAGAGAATCCGCTGAAACAATCCTGCCCCACAAAATGCTACCCAGCAATCTATCCTTTACCCCTTCTCATCTATACATTCATTCTTGCCTATAGCAACCCCCAAAATGAAGGGGAAATTCTCACATGTAAACTGACAACATGCAGCTCTATCAACACCATTTATCTTGACTCCTCACTCTCACTAAACCATTAGATTTCTTGCTGACATCAGGTCTGGATGACCAGAAGTCTCCTCCAATTGAATACAGGAAAGACTGAAGCCATTGTCCTCACTCACTGTATAAGCTTCAGTATCTATTTAATCCATTTCCCCAGCAATTGTCTGAACAAATGTCCCAGCATTTGACCTCAACATTGTAGTGACTCTGTAATAAGTGGTCACAAGCTAAACGGCCTATTTCCACCTCTGAAACTTTCCCCTGTACCTTTGTTACCTTCAGTCTCAACTATTCCAAAGCATTCCCATCCATGAAACTGTGCTGTCCATCCTCACCCAGACCAGATCCCATCAACATACCAGCTTCTCACTGACCTACTTGAGATTCCGTTTAAGCAATGGCTTAAAAGTTCTCATCTTTGTTTCCAAATCAGTCTGTGGCTTTGCCCCTCTACAGCTCTCACCTTCTGCACTCCAAAATCCTCGCTGCTCTGGTCTCTTGGAGCATTTCGGATTTTAATTGCCCCATTACTGATTACTATGGCCTCAGCTACCAATATCCCAGGCTCCAAAATCCCCTTTACCCCCAAACCTCTGCACTCCCTTTTCCTGCTTTAAGACAATCTCTTTGCTTAATCTTATCATGAGAGATTTGATGTCAAGTTTCAATAATTGCGTAGTACCATGTGATACCGAATTGTGCTAAATTGAAGTTATTGCTGATGTCCTTCAGACATCATCCTGTGGAAACTGACCTCGCTCAGATTAACGGTGTCCTCCAGAACGGATTATCACTCACCTCTCGCTCTCATCCGCTGCCTTCTCTGCCTCCTCCAACTTCTGCAGGGCAGTGGCCAGACGCTCCTGTGCCCGGTCCAGCTCTTCCTCAACCAGCTGGATTCTTCTGTTGAGGGCAGCAACCTCTCCTTCAGCCTGAAACAAGATATCAAAGAGACACAGATTGGATCCAATTAATTTCCTGATGTGCTCTTCTCACAATACCACAACACAGTGCAAAGTACAGAGAGTGAGAGTGATTGGCTGAGGCTCCTCTCCTTGGTTCAGAAATTTGGTTAAACTTCCAAAGATTGGGCAGAATCCAACAATTTCAACCTTAATTGGTCATTTCCTCTCTGATCCAACATGATACCCCTTACTCAGAAGAATCTCCTAGTCAGTTAGGGAGATAATTCCACAGAACAGTTCAAAGGCTTGGAGCTTGGAAATAACTCAGCAAAGTGAGTGGAATACTCGGATTAATCATTCCAGGTTAAATCTTTCACCTGTTAGGAGTTAGCTAGTCTTGCAGTTTAATTTGCTCAAGGGATGTTACAAACTGTTCGAAATGGGATTAACAGGGTTGAGATTGAATCTTAATCCCAGCATTTCCAAGTTGTGTTTAGTTGACCAATGGCCCTCGGTCTGTACCCTCATGAAGACGTGACAGTGCGTAAAAATAGCACAAACACAAACTCTTAACCAAAGAGACTGCGTGTACAGATGAACAAAAACCTTCCTTAAATATTGACACCACGGTGTTGATAAATATCAGCTCAGCACAAATACATCCACTTTTTCAGAGAAACAACCAGCCTTTCACTTACAATGTGTGCATTTCCTTCTGAAGCTAGTTGCAACCTTCCACCATTGCAGGGATGGATAACTATACAGCCAGTCCCTCAACATTGAGCACATTAGGATTTCTCAGCATCCTCAGCCCCATCTCAATTGCCAACATCTAGAAATGCACCACAAGCCCAGGAATATTTGGGTTGAACTTGCCTCTAGAATCACGCTGTTGGGCCTTGCAGAGTTACACCTAGCCTTCCTCACTGCGACATGAGACACTGGATTGCTGGACAAACGCGGCCCAACACTTATCTGCTAGCACATAGCCCAGTGCTGCACAGATTAGCAAAAGCAACCAGTCAACAAGGGGAGCCAGACCCGAGCAGAAGGAAGCCCGTGGTCAGACTGCTTCAAGACACAGGGGTGAAAAGTCAATTATTCCTCCTAAACAGCCCACACCCACCACACCTCATGTCTCAAATGAATCAGGTTCTACATCCAAAATTGTTATTTCCTGAACAAAATCAATCCAAGATGAATGAATGAATCAATCAATAGTATCGGCTTCCACTGACCGTGTCAGAAATTTGTGATCACGATGGGTGGAGGGGAAGAGGAAACAGGAAATGCAGAGGGAGAAAGAGGGGAAAAGGAAACAGGAAGAGGTTCCAATGCAGGCAGCTGTAATCCTGGACACCATTAGTGAAACAATCAAAAATGAAAATTCCTCATTGATGTTGCAGCCATTTTTCAACAAAGGTTCCCATACCATTGACACTGAGCTGCTTATAGCTGGATCTTAACTCTAGTTCATGTAAAATGACACACAAATCCCTTGGAAGTCCTATATTTACCGGTCACTGAACCATTAAAAACAAATCTGCTTTTTTTTGTACTAAAGTGGATCAATTATCATATTGCAGCATAATCTGGTCTAATCTGTGTCTCTCTGTAGCCTTGGAGTACTCCTCATCACTTTCTTTCCCTCCTAGCACTGTACAGTCAACACAGGGTTCCTCGGTTGCACATGAACTGCAGTCCCAAACAGTGCTCCAACTATAATCTGCCATCCTTAAAACAACTTGTTTATCCCCACCCAGTGGTTTTGTTCCATTAACCCATCCATGCTGATATTTCTGTGGGTCACTAACCTCTTCAATGCGCCAAGCACAAGACTTCATGAATAAACTTTCTGCTGAGACGGAGGCTGGGAACAAAGCCAAACAGAGAAGTGATAACCAGCATCACTTGGCAAAGTGAACTTTCCCTCCCATTGTTCTTGACCCATCTGCAGCCTTTAACATGGTAACCACACCATTCTCTTCCAACCCCTCTCCACTGTCCTCCTCCTGATGGGACCACCCTCACCATTCCATCTCATCTAAATACAGAGCTACAGATTTCACTAGCAATGGCTTCTCTTCCTGCACAGTTCTCTGTCCCCTCATCTCCTTCCTATTTCTCATCAACACACTGCCACTTACTATCAGTTTCCACGTGCACAGAGGGGACCCAGCTTCACCCCACCACCACCTCCAAACCCACAAAGCTTGTCCCACAAACAGTTCTAAATGACAGGCTTCCATCAATGAAATTTGGAAAAAAAAAACACTAAACCATGGACTAACAGTGTCCACCACAAACTGTTCCCTAACTACCAACCCATTCAGACTCAGAACTCAGTTCTGAGGAAGGGCCGCCAGACCTGAAACGTTAACTGATTTTTTTCTTCACAGACCTGCTGTTTTTGTTCCTGATTTTCAGCATCTGCAGTTCTTTCAGTTTTTAACCCATTCATACTTCCTGAACACTGTCCCAGACTAAACCAAACTCTTTGCAACCTCTGTTACATCTGTCTGCAAGACAAGTGTGCAATATCAAGAGGTCTGATTTCTGTCTCAAATCTGCCCCTACCTCAGCCTGTCTGCTGTTTAAACCATCAATCATACCCTCACTACCACTTTGATTCAACTATTCTAACACAGTCTATAGAGTAAGAGTCATACAGCATGGAAAGAGACCGTTCAGTCCCACCAGTCCAGCTGAACATAATCCCAAACTAAACCAGTCTCACCTGCCTGCTCCTAGCCCATATCCCTCCAAACCTTTCCTATTCATGTACTTATCTAAATTTCTTTTAAATGTTGTATTGTATCCACATCCACCACTTCCTCATGAAGTTAACTCCACACGCAAACCACCCTCTAAAAAAAGTTTGCCCTTCATTTTTTTTTTTAAAAAATAATCTCACTCCCCTCACCATAAAAATGTGCTCACTTGAAATCCCCCGTTCTACGAAAAGACAACTACCATTAACTCTATCTATACCCCTCATTATTTTATGAACTTCTATGAGGTTGCCTCCCAACCTCCTTCGCTCCAGTGAAAAAGTCCCAGCCTCTATTTATAACTCAAACCCTTCACACCCAGCAACATCCTGGTAAATCTCTTCTGAACCCTCTCCAGCTTAATAATACCTTTCCTATAACTGGGTAGCTAGAAATGGACACACAGAGTGCTCTCCCACATTCTATCCTCTTGGGGTCATTCAAATCTACATGCCCACTTTAACTTGTATCAAGTTCCTGTCCTCATCACCCCCTGTTCACTAACCTATACTGGGCCCTGACTACTCAATGCCCCAATTTTAAAGTTTTCATCCTCGTTTTCAAATCTCTCCATTTGCTTGCCTGTCATCTGGTCTGTAACCTCCTCTCACCTCTGATTTTAAATTGCTCCAACATCAGCGGCTGTACCTCCAGCCATCCAGAGCCACAGCTCTGCAATTCCCTCGAAAACATTCAGCAACCCGACCATTCTGTTCTCCTTGAAGGAATGCCTCGAGAAACCTTTCACTTAGGTCCAACTGGTCAAAAGCTTGGCTTAATATTGTCTTGCATCACTTGGCTTCAAATTCTGTTGTAAGCCAGAGACAGCGGGAAAGTGAGAGGTGGAAAGTTTAAAAAAAACAGTAAGAACATTAGAATGGGAGAGCGCGAGAGACAGCGCGCGAGCTATGGTTGGAGCAAGTGCAGTAACCGGTGTTTAACACTTTGCAAATGTCTTCTGCATCTTTGGGCTACACACACCTGCTACCAGTGAGGGTCTTCTATATCATCTTCATCATGAATGTGACAAAAAAATGTTGTAGCAATAAGACACATGCACATGTTGACCATGTGTTAGGTAAAATGTGTTAGATGGTGTGTTTACTTGGAGAGAGCTGCTTCGCATTTGCTGGACCCCACAGGAATGGAAAGGGATGTGATTGATATTATACAGAAACAATATGGGAGAGAATCCCATCCACACCGCTTGCTACCAGCTCACTGACTTGAACAGAAGTACAGAAGTCATTTCAACATGGCACTGCTTCAACAATCAGCATATTACTGGGTACAACAGTGTTTACCCTTTAGGTGTGTCCAAACTCTCCTAAGCCTTAAAATCAACAGTTAACACAGCATGATAGCCAGCTGGACAATGACAAGTCAACCTGTTCCTAACAACACAGGGGGGAGTCTCAATAAAATATACCTGAGAATCAACAAGGTTATATACCCCTCCCAAACCCAAATACCCCTTCCACACACACACACACACACACACACTCCCTACCCAAATACTCCAGACTCCCCACCACCCAAATAGCACCTCCACACAGCCCACTTACAAATTCCACCTTGCATCGGGGTACAGCTCCCTCCCTATATTTTGTGGTGGTCACATGCGAATTAACACTTGCACTGCCTCATACACATGGTTTCTTAGAGGGAGAACAGGTGTGCAGCCTACCTGCTCACATCCCCTTTACTGCATGGTCCCACACCCCCCACCATCAGCATTTTACAGGACCCATCCCTCACCCCTGGCCACAGTCCACACAAGCCCTGACCTTACAGCAGAGATCACTGTCATACCGGGTCAGGATGGGACAGCAATATGATCACACAACAACAACAAATGAGCCAAGACTATTTGATTGATAATAATTAATCCCAAACAAACCCTGCATTCCTCCCATAGCTACTCCTACTGTTTGAGCGATTTATTCCTTTCTGCTTTCCCTGACCCACATAGGAGTGGTTCTGAACACTGGTACACAGAGGGTAATCAATTTAATAGTTTATTGTTTACCATTGGTACTAAACTAGTAAAAGCCAATGTCATTTTGTCAAATAAGTTTAAAACAGTTTTTCCAGATATACGTTCTCAATTCTCTTACCATGTTGTATCGCCTAATCTCCTGTTCCAGACTAAAATGCTCAAACCTCTCCTCAATCTCATGGCTCTTGTCTGTCCTGTCTCCAGAGTTTCGCTATCTCCATGGCTCAGCGACCACAACTAGATACAGTTCTTAAGGT